GTACACGTGCACGCACACACACTGGATACACCCTTTCTGCCAGCTAAAGCAGACACACCCTCGTAAAGAGGTACAGGTGCCTATTACACACATGCAAAGCTTGTGCTAATGAGAGACTTGATGACTCGGGCAGTTTGGAGTGCTTTATGATATTCAGTAGTGGTTAACCCGTTTGGGTTTTTCTGTGGCTGATTGCGATATGTTAAAAAGTAAGGGTGGCCTATCGGGAGTATTAAACACTTGAGTAACACTTAAAAATGTCTGCATGTCATTGTTTAGATGAGAAAATATCAAAGCAAATATTCTTTCCTCTAAAATTTTCACAGCACTAACTTTACTTTTCTGAGCCATTTTTGTGATAACTTTTAGCTAGGGCTGGGCAATTTTTCCTCTTTTATCGATTAATGGCATGTTATGGCACAATTTTATTTTTTAGAAATCGAGGAATCGCGATTTTGAATAGAAATATTACCAAACGTTAGAATTAGAGATGCACCGATCGATCGGCCAGGGATCGGAATCGGCCGATTTTCCTCATGATCGGCCCGGATCGGTGATCGGCCGATCAGTCTCACTTCTTTCCGATTCCGAAATAAAATGCAGCGCTTCTCTTTTGATTTCATTGACGTGAACTCCGTTAATTTAAATAGCGTGGGAATTGAAGATCGGATTTATATACGTTTTGCGACGACACATTTATGTGGCCAAGTGTAAATGGAAACGTTTGAACAAATCAGATAGATATCCAATCAACGAAAATGCATGAAATGACCAGGTGTAAACAGGCCCTATAGATTGGGTCCGTGGATAAACTCTTAAAGGGACCGCAGTCCAATATTCCTACTGCTGTCTGTCATGTTAATCAAAGAACAAAAGACAAAGAAAATCACTTTCGTGTGTTTTTATTTTATTACTTGTTTTTTTTTTTATGAAAATAAAACTTTGCGTTGAAGAAAAATAGATTTTTGTTTGTATATGCTGTCAATTATAGTTCTTAGAAAGAGAATCGGCAAAAATCGGTATCGGCAGATCACACTAAAAAAAAAATCGGAAATCTGAATCGGCCAAGAAAATTGCAATCAGTGCATCTCTAATTTATTTTCTATTTTTGTCACAGCTGATGTGTTTTTGTGGGATCGTCTTTTATAGTTCAGTATGTAGATCATTAGGGTGCTGTTGGTTTACAGTACTATGCGATGTCTCCCTTGAGTCTTTGTTAAGAGAGGGGGAGATGTTTTTAAAAAATTTATTATTAATCAAAGAAACCATCTGCGAGGGACGCCATTTTTATATTTGAAATTCAATGGTTGATCCTCATTGCAACCTCTGCCAGGCGTGCTATACATGTGTCTGTTTTGTCACTTGATACAGTGGACCGATAGGTGTTCTGTCCTCTCCTCGTCCTCCGCTCTGTGTCACCACCTCTTTACCACAGCAACATGCAAAGATGAGAAGGATGGAAGACAGAAACTGATAATATATTTCTTTCATGCGGTTGAAAGCAAAGATCTGGGGGTTACTTCACAGGAGTGGTCCTCTTCTGAGAGCCGAGGGAGAAAGAACTGAGAGTTTGAAAAGGAAATGGTTCACAGGACCGATTTGGTAGGAGGGTTCTTGTGGGTGGATCGTTCTTTTAAGTTTCTGACAGACTCAGGAAAGCCCTGGAGGCGTGTGTACAAATCATGGTCACTAGTTTTCTATGAGATGCACACTTAGTGATAACCTTCCGTGCTGTAATTATGGCCACCGGAAGGAGCTAGTAAAATTTAGGCTGCACCCCAATTTGCATACTTATATTATACACTAAAAGTGCTTTGCTGGTGATAAGAAAGATCATGATTTGAGTGTGTAAGACATTGACCTAGACCTAAATTGCCATAAAATTGTGTTTGTATTGTGTGTTAGCATTAGCACACTGTTTGCAGTATTTTAGCATTAGTTAAAATTTTCAAATGCCTTAATTTATCTTTACTTATTTCATTTATTTAGTATTGCCAACAATTTTTAAAAAGGTATATCACCTATGTACCCAAGATATTTTTATTTATTTAAATTTGCTTGTTTATTTTAAATATGTTGGTACTTTGTCTATATCTACTTTGTCTGAAAGTAGACTTGAAAGACTTTATAATTAAATGGTTTATGTAGGTAATACATTTCAGCTAAACTCAATTCTCAATACTATTGAACAAAAACACACATTTGTTTGATTCAGTTTGTTCACATTAAATAGTAAAATATTATTACAATTTCTGACAAAGCTGAATTTTCAGCATCATTACTCCAGTCTTCAGTGTCACATGATTCTTCAGAAATCATTCTAATACAGAAAGAAAGTTTTACAGAAAACTCATGTTTCTCTGCGCTGTCATTTTTTAAATTTTGAATTTGAAACACTTTTAGGACCGCAGATTCCTCAGGGTCTTTGCTTGAAGCCATCACACTATCACGACAAGATGCATGTCGTTTGCTGTTTGAGTGCGCTGTGAGATTTTCACATTTGAAACTGCGCGATCCTGATACAAAGTCCGTTTTACCGGCTAAGCTAGGTTTTCTACTGCAGTACTTGCATATCATCACATGTCCCTCCTCATCATACAGATGCCAATCAAAATCTGACAGCCTTTTTGGGCATCCATTTGCATCTACAGTACAGTAAAGAAAGAACACCGTTTCAATCTAATGCGTCAATTCTCTTTATGCAGCATCTCTTTCTCTCACGTTGAGTGTGCGTGTGATAGAAAGCGACAGAGGGCGCTGTCAGCTAAGTGACGGTGTTTAATGCGCTTAATTTATTCTTTGCATCTAACTCAATCACCGGCGAGTAAAATCGGAAAATTTACTAGCCATTGGCTAATTAAAGACATTTTTTAGTCGCCTAGTGGGAAATTTACTCGCATATGCGAGCAATTTTCTCGCATTGTAGAGGGTTGTTTAAATATCACTTAATCCATAAGCGCTTTCTACATTTCAGTTTTCTAAAGAGAGGAAAACGCTTTACGTTTAACGTTTAAACGTGTCGCGTTAATATTCTGGCTCATCTGCATGTCTTTTAGCATCACTGTCTTAGTACATTAAACCAGCATTTTAAAATGCTACAAAACTGTTCACAAGCTCCTAGGGATTTGATTTTGCTTGTCATTTGTTGAAATAAATATAAAAAGTACAGTGAGTTCGTGACTGTTCGCTGAATGTGACCCACAATCTCTGATTCTCCTCCATGGCCATGGAAAAATGAATATTTATAATGACAACAATTATACTGTCATTTCAAAGTTTCCAACAAAGAAATGGATCGACTTCTGTCAGCTTGTTGAACACACTTTTATTTGGATAATCTACCATATGATGGCTGAAGCAGCAGCGAGCGTCCAGCGAGCGACACTGTTTTGATGCTAATCAGGTAGGCTAAACATTGTAAACCAAATTCTACAAAACCTAAGAGAGAAAAATCGAATTATCATGCAGTGCGATAAAATAGCTTCTCTTCCCTGCAAGCGATACAATGAAGAATAAATGATTGTTTATCTTAAAGGCAAAAACAAAACAAAAGATAAGCAGTTATCCTTATCCACCTTTTTCTTGTCGTAAAAATGGGCGCGGCCATTAGTAAATTCTATGGGTCTGGCTTCCGGTCTCATCTGCATCCACTCCGTCCAGCTATTTTTAGCTGAACAAAACAGTTCGTTTTGCTGCTTAATATTGAAAGTTGGTGTGTCTTATCATATTATTTTAATGTATTATCTTAATTATGAACACACTGGTTTGTAGTGCTAACAGTTTTACCGTTTACTGCACATTGTTATTCTCCTCGTTATTTACCTATAGCGGCTAATGAACCGGAAGTCTCACCCATAGGCTTACTTCCGCGTTGAAGAAAAAGGTGGATAGAGAATGAGAAGTAACCATGGGAACGGATAGTGTATCCTGCTAATATGGGGGCGCCTTCCCGAAATGCAATGCAGAGTAAAAAGATTGTGACATAACTCCTCATTCTCTATTGAGATTTTTCACATTTTTGAACCCTGTCTTTGCCACTTGGTTGACTATTGGATTCAAATCAAATAAATTGAAACATCATGCGGTGGATAACATTTCACCGGTTCAATTTATAAGTGCATTTTTTTAGCTGCTAGAGTATTTATATGTGTCCTTCTTGTGAAAATAGACCAGTCAGCATTTTATGAGATTTTTCTGTAAGCGGGATCAGCTGTTACTGATACCCATTATTGCGAATAGAATTAGCTTGATTTGGATTAGATGTAATAAACATCGGGGCAAAGAAACAATCTTAGTCATACTGTTAACACTAATTACACAGACTACTGAGAACGCAAAACACAACCAGAACACATTCTGATTCATGCTAGTCTGTGATGCTGTGAAATGACAACTTGTTGAGTGACTACGTGATTTAACGTTTGGAAATGTCGCCTGGTTTACATAACATTCAGCTGAATGATACATTCTGTACCTCTTTTAATTTGTAGTTATGTAATTAATCTAGTAATTCAACTCTTTAAGTTACATTTGTCATTTGCAGATAGTCAGCAAAGTTGCTAGATGTGACAACCTGTTATAATTGCTGCATTATTTGTCATTGTTGCTTCTTGTTTGTGTGTTTGTCCAAGTTTACCAGTCACCTTGTGAAGACTTGCGTTGCCTAGGCTGTTTTTGGTGTAAACACAATGTACACCAACAACAACTTCCTATCATGTGATTGCAGCATTGTCTTATTATATTCATCCTCATGCACTTCCTCATAAACATTTTTAAAGGAATTTCAGTAAACCCCTAACTCTAAATATTAAACTTCAGTGCAGATTCCTGTCTTGAATACTTTATAGAATTTTATGATTGTAGTCAATAATTACGAATTGTATTTTCGGCAGATAAATATTGAGGATGAACACCAGATGAGCTGTGAGTAAAGTGTAATGATTTACTCTGGTTTGCCCTGACTAACCTTCTCTTCTTCTCTCTCATTGTTTGTTCTGTAGGCGAGTTATCCTGCCTGGGAGGACTTTGTCACCAAAGGGGCTAAGCTACAATCTCAGTTAAGGTAAGAACAGGCCTCCTGCGTTACATGCTTCCTTGAGTAGGGAGTAATTATGATAATCTTGTTTCGAAAGCAGGAAATGTGCTTGATTATTACATCATTCAGGAAGGATTTGTCATCCAGTATAAGAGGAGAGCTAATAAAGGAACATTTGTGAAAAATGTCTTTTTGAAAGATGCAAAAAGGCAGTGAACAGGCAGTGATGAAGAAAGAAGGGGATTTCATAATAAATAAATAATTTAGAAGTAGAGAAATTTAAATGCAGACAGTTAGGAAAGGCGTCACATTTAGAAAATGAGGATGTATAGTTGATTCAAAGGGATGTTCTGTCCTAAAGTCAACAGAATATGGCATTTGCAAGCCTTTGTGTTTCCATGATGTGATGAATTTTAGAGTGAAGATAAAAAAAAACAAGACTTGATTTTATCCATCGTGTATTGATTGGATATTGTAAAGTGAGTGTTATGTATTAGAATGGAGCCAGATTGTTGGAGGTAGGTGTGAAAAAGTAAGTGGGCTTGTTGACATCATCTAAAATGAAAGATTTGAAAGAAAAAAGAAGAAAAGATTACAATGACAATTTTAATTGGAATAATGTGTAAAGTAAGACCTTGAGTGTGTATTTAAGTCGATAAATAGGGCAACATTGATTCTGACTTGGGTCATGCCTAATTTTCACAATCCATGTTTTTTGTCCAGTGTTTTATTGACTTAATGATTGACACCAAAGTACACAACAGTACAACCTACTGAACAGACTGTACGTCTATCCCTTGTGCGCTTTTGCGCAAGATTAAATATGCCATCTGACCTGACTAAGGTGCATACAAAGTTGGTACTCTAAAGGCCCCAATATACTCATGACGAAGTTTTTTCTCATTTTTTTGCTTTATGCTTACCTTTGCAGTGATATACTTTTAGTGAATGTCCATTTCCATGTCAAAGAAGGCAGAGTCGCAGAACATGTAATTGCCACAGACTAGTGGTAGTTTAAAGGTGTTTAAGCGGCCATAATTCAGTATGATACAGAAAGGCTTATCATAGGAAGAGAAGATCGTTTAGGTTAGCCGTTGGTTCCATTTTTACAGTGTGTCCCCTCTGCCTGACCTCTCTGTTCAGTCCTTGGAGAGTAAACAGGCTAATGACCCTCCCAAAGGTCTACTCCATTCCAACAGATAAACATCAAACACGCTCCACTCACACACACAATTACCATTGCCAGCCATCTGGACTGCTAAGAGCTGATCATGGTCTGCTTTTTAAAAGTTCCTCATGACTTTGGGCACTGCTAGTGTTTTTGTAAACACAGTGTTGGGTAATGTTTACCTGTTGCTGTATATCACCATATGTCTGGCTGATCAACATCACAGTACATGCAAATATAGATACTAGACTGGCTGGTTTGGGAATGGCTGTTGTAAATCTTAATGCAAACCACCAATTGCACTTAAAGGGGTCCTATTATGCTTTTTCACTTTTTCAGCTTTAGTTAGTCTGTAATGTTGCTGTTTGAGCATAAACAAGATCTGCAAAGTTACAAAGCTCAAAGTCCAATTCAAAAGTTGATATTTTATTTAACAGAAATCACTTTTCAAAAACTAACACGAACGACTCGTTTGGACTACAATGCATATTTTCCGGGATTTGTGATATCACAAATCTCGACAAATTGGATGAGA